TTTACTCTGTGTCCTTCTATCCCTTTTAACAAGTCTGGTTCTGGCTTAAATGAGCCAAACCTTCTGCTGTTTTTGTTTACTTGTTTTTATACGGTAATTAAGAGAGACTTTTTCACCACCAAATAGGAAATGTGATTACGGGTTTTATGGAGACTTATTTATATTTGATAAGATTCTGGAAACTCATGGTATTTGGTATAAAATATACATTAAAGAGTAAATTAAAAGGGCCAACTATATGAATCTCAAAGCCAATAATGGTACACCGTCCTGTTTTTCTCCTTCTCATTTACTTTGCATTTTTTAATCTTCCCAAGCTATTTACCATTGCAGTGAGTTATAGCATACTGTAATATATAGAAAAGCTGAATGCTTAATATTTAACAAATTTGTCACAATGTAAATAAGACAAAGATCCTTCCTATAAAAAGTTTACATTTAAGGAGAGTTAAATGTATGTATTTGTTATTTTTCATATACTTTGGGAGTTTTGATGTTGGTAGCAGCTCTGGTGAATAAAAGGTTGGGAATGGAAGAATTCTGCTGGTGAATCACAATCAAGTCAAAATGAAAAGCTACAGTTGCTGGGCGCGGTGGCTCACGCCTGTAATCCCAGCACTTTGGGAGGCCGAGGCGGGCGGATTGCCCGAGCTCAGGAGTTCGAGACCAGTCTGGGCAACGTGGTGAAACCCCGTCTCCACTAAAATACAAAAAAATTAGCTGGAGGTGGTGGCGAGCGCCTGTAGTCCCAGCTACTAGGGAGGCTGAGGCAGGAGAATTGCTTGAACCCAGGAGGTGGAAGTTGCCGTGAGCTGAGATCACGCTGCTGCACTCCAGCCTCAGCTACAGAGTGAGACTCAGTCTCAAAAAAAAAAAAAAAAAAAAAAAAAAAAGGTACAATTAAATTTCAACGTATGGTTGTAAAAGTATGATGTTGCATTAACATGTATGGCATATATTCATATTTATATAATGATTTGTTTATTCATAAAAACTCCTTAGTTAAAAATGTAATCAATATTAAATAAGTGAACAAAAATACATTTGCTAAGAAAAAATTGGAGAGGTGTGTTCTAAAAGAATGAGCTTGGTCCAGAAAGAATAGAATGTCTATATCATAGGAGCATCATAAAGAGAAGGGTTCTTTGGAGAGGAAAATGAAAGTACTAAAACAAGGTCAGCTTTCCCAAGAAGTAATTAGATTGAAAAACGTAAGAAAACAAAATATTCAGAAAAACACACTCAGGTTGTGTTTTTGCTTGGAAATTGAAATCCTGGGATGACATCTGTTATCTTCCAGGTAACAGTTTTGGGCTCTTGACAAGTTGTAAGGCTGATGGACAAAAGTAGGGTCACAAGGATTAAATGAAATATGTACCATGCAAATGATACTTAAATAAGTTACCATGGCTTCAGCTAAGTTGCAGGAGTTGCCGAGTGAAAAGAGATGACCAGATTTTGATCCATTCATGCAATTTTTGATTCAACTAGTATTAGAAGACTTCTCTGGATTATGCATTGTGTTGTCTTAGATGCTTTATATCCTTTGGTGATCAAATCCCTTATTTTTTAGCCTATTCTTCACTTTTTTTGTGTACTGCTGAAAGACATTATTTAATGGAACTAACGAAGAACTAGTCTCTAAGTGCAGAACCGTAGGATGTCATTATATGTAGGTGGTATAGGTATTGAATGAAGATTTATGATAAACTGTAGGAGATAGACATCTGTTACCACAGAGCTGTCATCACCCAATTTCTTACTCTTAAGTCAGGGATATTAATATTTGCCACCTCCCTAGCGTTACTCTTTGAGGTAACTGGGATTACCTTGTTGAATATTTGTGGGCATCATTAGGTTGTAAGTTTTATTCCATTACTCACTCCAGCATGTCCCATGGAATTTATTGTTGCAGTTATGATTCAAAGCAGTAGGAAGTAAAAATTTGAGTCACCAGACAGGCCTGCGACTTCGTTCTGTGTGGTATATCGAATACAACGTTTTATTAAACTCTTTGAAAATGAGTCCCCTTAAGGGTTTAAGTTAAATAGCCTGGATTAGAAAACTGAAATTTTATAATAATGGGTGAAACTCTAGCTTTCTACTTTATTACACTAACATCTCACAGGGGATTCCAGAATGGTAGATGACTTTACATAACATGAATTCAATACTCATCTGCATTAAGCAGGTGCACACTTTAGATTGGATCCTAACAAATGCATGTCTTGGCCTTTGTTTTTAGGACTCTAAGTTGTTGCTTTTTTTGTTAAAAATGTAAATATACCATTTATTGTTAATGAAAAATTGAATAATGGTTGTTATCACTTAGAATTATGAATATGGCCTTTCAGAATGGGGAAAATGTATTTTTAAATGGCTGGTTGGTGCATATAGCATGAAGTATAGTATTTGGCAAGCAGGGTCTGGGCCAGTGCCACCTAGGCAAACACATGACAATTTCTGCAGCAAAGCAATAAATCTTTATTTATTTAAATATCTATTTATTCAAATATTTAAACTGGGATAAATAGAGACTGTAAATCATATCAGTTAACTTCTCGTTCTTCTGTCAATGGAGCGTGAAAACAAATGTGTAGTTTTCAGAATGTTTTGGATTTTGGACTTGTAAATACAAGATTTTAGCCTATTAGATCTGTGTTAATAAAAGAGGACAGAGCAGTAGTGTGTAAGCAGATGCAGCACATCCTGACATTTAACAACCATGGCTTGGCGACACCAAATGACTGGGTTCAAAGTTTTTAGTAAGGTATTCATTCCCTACGTCTCCTCGGTTGCTTCATTTTCAAAATAAGGATAACAAGAGAACTCATCTTGTAGGCTATTATGAATATGTTAATATTAATAAAATGATAACATACTGATAATATAGTCTGGGACATAAAGGCTGTTTAGATATGGTCACATGATGCCATCTACTTCATTTAAATTTAGGCTAAGAAAATAACACAGTGAGTTAAATTAGTTCTCCGAAAGCAAACGTTGTGGCTGCTTTTAGCATTGTTATGTGCACATCAGTTACTAGCTACTTAGGTAGTAGGCGTTTTCTCCCCTTAGACTTTCACTCTCATGCAGCCCAGTCAAATGGACAAAGGCGAGAGGAAGGAGGAGTGTGCAGTCTGCACTGTCACCAGAGAAGCCAGAGAAGAGTTTTAACTTACGGACCAAAATAACATCTTACAAATGGGATTTCTGTCCTTATTTAGGAAAAGTTGACTAACGGTCTCTCTGTAAATGGACGACTCTTAGGACCAAGATGGTATGTTAAGAAAACAATTTCAATGAACCATGTGAGGTGGTGGTAGTGTAGTCAGACAGCCAAAGTGCATCATCCTTGCCAAGCTCTACAGGACAAAAACGTTTCCAGCTTAGTGTGGTGGTGAACACCTGCAGTTGTCCCAGCTACTAAGGAGGCTGAGGCAGGAGGATGGCTTGAGTCTGGGGTTTGAGTCCAGCCTGGCTAACATAGACATCATCTAAAAAATGAAATTTAAAAATATGCCTCCAAATGTAGCTACCTTTTCCCGCTTTAGAGTCGGAGATGGAGGTGAGAATCGGCTTCCTGCTGTCCTAAACTACCTTCTACTCTTCTGGGGAAGATAATCCAGAGACTTTTTGGAGAATGAAGGCAAAGAATTGTGGGTTTCCCTTGTCAGGAGCTTCAGATGTGGCCACCCATCTGGACTTGGAACATGATGGTCTAGCAGCCTGGGCTCCCCAGCATCATTCCTGATGGTCATTTTCATCTTTTCGCTTCTATAATCTTAATGCTTCTAGCTTAGGATCCTAAGTTTCATATAGGTATAGCAGTTTTATAAATTTTAAGTAATCTAAAAAATCCCAATTTTTGAGCTTGTGAATCAATGTATACTGCTTGTACAATACACTAGCTTATTATAGTATACTACATCTGATACTTACTGTTCTAAATTCTTCAGCATTTCTTAATATTTCCAAAAGGAACAGTTCTTTGACTTCACTTGTTTGGAAGGGTGCTAAAGAGGGGAAATATATTCCCTTCTCAATTCTGTATAATGACTGAGGTCTTTGGGAGACTTTATACTGCACCAGGGGTAAGAATTTATAAAAATGCCTTTAAAATAACACGGGGCAGGGTAGGTCATACAAGTAGTCCCAGCGCTTTGGGAGGCCAAAGGAGGAGGATGGCTGGAGCCCAGGATGTTGAGACCAGCCCAGGCAATATAGTGAGATCCTGCCTCGGGATAACAAAATTAACGGGGTGTGGCAGTACACACCTTGAGTCTTAGCTACCCTAGAGGCTGAGATGGGAGGATCACTTGTTCATGGGAGGTCGAGGTTTCAGTGAGTGGTGATCACGCTACTGTACCCTAGCCTGGGCAACAGGTCTTGAGACCTTTCTCAAGAAAAAAACAAGAAACTGTCTTTAAGAATATTTTATTTGCTGAAAGGAGAAAAGATTTTCTGGGGAAGACACTTTAGAAACAATCTTTCTTATAAAAATTTGTTTGTTTTATTTACTTGAACTTTAAAATGCCATAAACACAGTTCCTGGATACTTGAATTTCCTTAGTCCTCTTTCATGATTCCCTCCCATGGCTGTGCTGTCTCTCTACTGACTTCACCTGGAATCCTGGAGGTTACCATAACATATTCAGAATTTCTGTATAAAATTTTCTGTGTTCTGATACTTCAGACATACTAGTAATCATTTTACAACCTTCACTTTTAAAAACATTTTTGGATAACCTTTCCATTTAGGATCCAGGAATTCGTATAAAACCACAGAGGTTATATTGCCTTTGAAAAAGGCTGTTGGTTTGTGGAATTTCCTTTAACTGGAAACACGTTTGAGTTTGTGGTTTTAGTGTTTTTCCAGTTTTATACTATCCTCCTTGTTTGTTTTCATTTTCAAAGCTGGAGAATTTATTATTAATTTCCATATTTCATAAAGGACTAACTTTTTTCCTCCCCAACCTTTTTTTTTTTTTCTTTTTCAGTTGAACGAGACAAGGATTTTTCTCACCAGCGAAGGCATTACAAAGAATTTCGATTTGATCTTACCCAAATTCCTCATGGAGAGGCAGTGACAGCAGCTGAATTCCGGATATACAAGGACCGGAGCAACAGCCGATTTGAAAATGAAACAATTAAGATTAGCATATATCAAATCATCAAGGAATACACAAATAGGTATAGTCTTTTTATTTAACTTATTATCCTGGCAAACATATATCAAATTTTAGTAACTGTCATTGATAACTCATGCGATCTATCAACAAATTATCTTCACTGGGTAGCGTAGTAACATTTCGAGCCAGGTAGAGACATTGAAAGGTAAGACTAATCAATCCGAAAATTTTCTTCTATATTTCTAAGCTGTTCCCTACTCCTGACTCTACTTTGTTTAAATGTAGGATAAGAAAATCAGAATACAGTGAGTTAAATTTAGTTCTCTGAAAGAAAAAAATTAAGGTCAGTTTTAGCATTTGTATACTAAATAGTCTCGTGCTTCTCAAAATGTGCTTTTAGGTCTGTTGTCTCATTTTGTAAATTTGTCCTTCACTCCAGAAAACTCCTTTGTTCTGCCCCCATGAAATTCATAATTAAGATAATGAAGTTACTTGGTGTTCTGAAAGTTAGACAAGTGCTGCTTTACTTTTCATTGGCATGAGTGTCAACATTGCATGTTGTTATGTGCGTTTTGATGACCTCAGTCTATAAGATGGTTAATTCAGAATGGTAGAAAAATGGACAGTCTGAAATACTAAATGCATAAAAATTTCAGTTGATAGTGACTGCAAATGAACCACTGAATTCAAGCCTTGAAAAGGGACCATAGTTATTTTCTTTGGCGTTTAAAAGAATGCAGAAATCGAATCGCTTCGATAACACATTTTTCAGGTGAGTAATCACCTTTGTCAGACAGCTCAGAGTGATCGATCAATTGATCGATCGATCATCTATCAAAATATGTTTGAAATCCAATATTGAGGTGATACCTCTCTCCCAGTAGCTTTCATTCCTCAGATCTAGGTCATTTTTTTGATGAAGTAATAAGTCCTTTTTTAATGAGACAATTATTTAAAGATCGATATCTCGTCTTCTGTATGCCCTGTTCTTTCCTTGTTGACTATCTGTAGTTCTTGACCTTTAGATTTGACTTGGTATTCTAGGGTGGCAGAATACCCAATAAACACTCCATGAAACACCAGTCCCTTGCACTGCTCAATGAAGAAAACAATAAAAGTCTTCTGAGGTCATGTATATTTGTAAAGCCTGCCAGTTAGACTATTCTCTAGGAGATTCGCAGTATCAGAATATTAACATCTGAAAAAGGCTTTACAGTGAAAACATACATGCATGCATGCATGCATGCATATGCTCTATCAACTTTATTTTAGCTAGTGTTTCTCAGAATTATCTGGCTATGGATTCATTGGTTAGTAGTACTTACTAATATTCTGTGCAACACTGGTTCAGCAGAACTCAATGTAATACATACTGATTGATATGCGTTGTTATTTTTAACAGCAGTAATTTCAAGGCAGAAAGACCTGCACTGGTTTCTCAACTTTAACACTGACTAGCTGTTCATCTTTGGATAAGTTATGTTTTTATAAAATCTCAATCCAATGGTTCCATTTATGAAATTAAGATAATCTTGTAGGGCCAGGCATATATAGTGAATACGCTATTATTTTTATGTTAAATAATATCTTTCAAAGATAGTGAGAATTGAAAATACTCCAAATATTAATAATATTGCCAAAACTAACAAATTGCTTTATTCATAATTATCTTTTTCTATGTTTGTTTCTGTGCTTTGATTGAGTTTAGAGATAGTGTAAGTTATTTTTTATTCTCAGCACTACCATTTTCCTCAGTGTAGTTCAATGCTTTGAAATCATTATTACTCAAAATTGGAACACTAGTTCCTTATACGCATCCTAAAATGTTTGGATTATGTTTATTTTTGGTCAGTCATATATAGTTTTATGTATGTTGAGTTTATAGTTGGTTATTTATATCCTAAGTATTTTTTCTCAAGAATGATTATATCAGTTTTCGATCCTCTAGAGTATATTTATTAATTGTATCTAATTGCAGATTTTACATTGATCACAATTAAAAGTTCTATCTTTTCTGTGTACCCACTGTTCTGTCTTCTCAGTATATTGTTGAATGTCATGTAATGAAGCTCTCTTTGAGCTTACTTTCACTTTTCTAAGGATGTGAATGGTTTCATTTAACACATGACAAACGATACAAAACTAAGAGCCTATTAATAAGTTAGTTTATTTTTGAATGAATTCATGCTTATTTTTATTAACAATCCATGCTGGAATATTTATGGATATTGAGGCTTAGCTCACCTGACTTTATAGTTTTGGGAAATTTTTAAAATTATAATTTAAGTTCTTGAATACGTGTGCAGAACGTGCAGGTTTGTTACGTAGGTGCACAAGCGCCATGGTGGTTTGCTGCATCCATCAACCCATCATCTACATTACGTATTTCCCGTAATGTTATCCCTCCCCTAGCCCCTCAACCCCGACAGGCCCTGGTGTGTGATAGTCCCCTCTTGGTGTCCATGTGTTCTCATTGTTCAATGCTCACTTAGGAGGAAGAACATGCTGTGTTTCATTTTCTGTTCTTGTGTCAGTTTGGTGAGAATGATGGTTCCCAGGTTCATCCATGTCCCGCAAAGGACATGAACTCATCCTTTTTTATGGCTGCATAGTATTCCATGGTGTATTATGTGCCACATTTTCTTTTCTTTTCTTTTTTTTTTTTGAGACGGAGTTTCGCTCTTGTTACCCAGGCTGGAGTGCAATGGCGCGATCTCGGCTCACCGCAGCCTCCACCTCCTGGGTTCAGGCAATTCTCCTGCCTCAGCCTCCGGAGTAGCTGGGATTACAGGCACGCCACCATGCTCAGCTAATTTTTTGCACCATTAGTAGAGACGGGGTTTCACCATGTTGACCAGGATGGTCTCGATCTCTTGACCTCGTGATCCACCCGCCTCGGCCTCCCGAAGTGCTGGGATTACAGGCTTGAGCCACCGTGCCCGGCATGTGCCACATTTTCTTTATCCAGTCTATTATGGATGGATATTTGGGTTGGTTCCAAGCCTTTGCTATTGTGAACAGTGCCACAATAAACATACACGTGCATGTGTGTTTGTAATAGAATGGTTTATAATTCTTTGGGTATATGCCCAGTAATGTGATTGCTGGGTCAAATGGAATTTCTAGTTTTAGGTCCTTGAGGAATTGCCACAGTTTTTCACAATGGTTGAACTAATTTACACTCCCACCAACAGTGTAAAAGTGTTCCTATTTCTCCACATCCTCTCCAGGATCTGCTGTCTACAGACTTTTTAATGATAGTCATTCTCACCAGTATGACATGAGATGATATCTCAATGTGGTTTTGATTTGCTTTTCTCTAATGACCGGTGATGATGAGCTTTTTTTCCCCTATGTTTGTTGGCCGGATAAATGTTTGTTTTCTTTTGATAAGTGTCTGTTCATATTATTTGCCAACTTTTTGATGTTTTTTTTTTTTTTTTTTTTTTTTTTTTTTTTTTTTTTTCTTCCTGTAAATCTACTTTAGTTCTCTGTAGATTCTGGATGTTAGCCCTTTGTCAGATGGGTTGCTAACTTACATGAATGTATACTTGATCACAAAAATTTTATCCCATTCTGTTGGTTGCTGGTACACCCTAATGATAGTATCTCTTGCTGTGCAGAAACTCTTTAAATAGATCTCATTTGTCTATTTTGGCTTTGGTTGACATTGCTTTTGGTGTTTTAGTCATGAAGTCTTTGCCCATGCCTATGTCCTGAATGGTTTTGCCTAGGTTTTCTTCTAGGGTTTTTGGTGTTAGGTCTTATGTTTAAATATTTAATCTCTCTAGAGTGAATTTTTGTATAAGGGAAAAGGAAGTAATCCAGTTTCAGCTTTCTACATATGGCTAGCCAGTTTTCCCAACACCATTTGTTTAATTGAGAATTCTTTTTCCATTCCTTGTTTTTGTCAGGGTTGTCAAAGATCAGATGGTTATAGATGTGCAGTATTGTTTCTGAGGCCTCTATTCTGTTGCATTGCTCTATATCTCTGTTTTGGTACCAGAACTGCACTGTTTTGATTACTGTAGCCTTGTAGTATAGTTTGAAGTCAAGTAGCATGATGCCGCCAGATTTTTATTTTTTCCTTAAGCATGTCCTGGCTATACAGGCTCTTTTTTGGTTCCACATGAAATTTATGGTGTTTCTGTTCCCCCAATTCTGTGAAGAATGTCAATGGTAGCTTGATGGGGATAGCAGGGAAGTTTCAGTTCTCTAAAAAAATGGGACATTTGTTTATCTTGTACCTCTGGTATTTTTATTATTATACCAGATTTTAAAAATATTACACTTAATGTTTCTGCTACTATAGCTACATGTTCTTTTAGTTATTCTTGGGTATAATTTGGCTAAGTCTTTTTTAGTTTTACATATGTTTAAATCTTCCCTCAGATTTAGGATTACACTCATATGTTTTCCTAATTCTTTTGACTTGATTTGTAAAATCTAAAGTACATGTGTATTTTTGCCTGGCATTTTCTTCCACTGCCATTCTAAACTCTGAGATGATATAGATTGGATAGGTTTCTATTTAGTTTCTAAACAAACAGTATTTTAAAAAATTCAATTCAGTCTTAATTCAGTTCTTCCAAGTTCACATTTTTGAACATCTATTTAGTAGTGTTACTGAATTATGACTGTTAACTTTACACACTCAGAGACTCATACCTCATATTTCTTTTTTTTTTTTTTTTATTTGAGACAGAGTTTTGCTCTTGTTTCCCACACTGGAGTGCAATGGCACTAACTCAGCTCACTGCAATCTCCGCCACCCAAATAGCTGGGACGATAGGCACCCATCACCACGCCCAGCTAATTTTTGTATTTTTAGTAGAGATGGGGTTTCACCATGTAGGTCAGTCTTGTCTTGAACTCCTGATCAGGTGATCCACCCATGTTTGCCTCCCCAAATGCTGGGATTACAGGCGTGAGCCACTGTGCCTACCCATAGTTCAATTTTATATACTGCTGATCAGGTTGAATAATCTCTAGTAAAATATATAGTAATTTTTTATTTTAAAAAAAGCATTTGTTTATTGCCAGGAGTTCATTATTCTGCAT